AGAGCAGGAGCAAATGAATGGTATCTAGATAGCGGATGCTCTCACCATATGATGGGAAACAAGAGTCTCTTTTCAGAATTGACTCTTAAAAAGGGAGGTAAAGTAACCTTTGGTGATAATGGTAAAGGTAGAATACTTGGAGTTGGTACGATTGGAGAGCCTCCAAATACTACCTTCACTCAAGTGTTATTTTTTGATAGTCTTAAGCACAACCTGTTATCTATTAGTCAATTATGTGGTACAACTAATAGAGTTGTGTTTCAACATGAGACATGCCTTATTGAGAGGATCAAAGATAATAAACCATTATTTCTAGGAGTTAGGAAAAATAATGTCTATGTCATTGATCTTAGTAAAAAGGCTTCATTCAATGAAACCTACTTTCTCTCTTTAGGTAAGAACAAGCAATTTCAGTGGCATCGAAGACTAGGACATGTTAGCATAAAGAGATTGGCTAAATTAGCTAAATTGGGTCTAGTAGATGGTCTTCCTCAATTAAAAGAATCAAAGGACTTCTTTTGTGTTGCATGTACTCTAGGAAAACAAACTTGAGCATCCTTCAAGAGTATATCTCGCTTCACTACATCTAAACCTTTAGAGCTTCTACACTTAGATCTGTTTGGGCCTACGAACGTGATGAGCTTTGGTGGAAAGTATTACGCATTTGTCATAGTAGATGATTTTTCTAGATATACATGGGTAATCTTTTTGACTCACAAAGATGAAGCTCTTGAGAAATTCAAGATTCTTGTGAAAAATATTCAAAATGAGAAATCCCTCAGTGTTAAAAGCATCAGGAGTGATCATGGAGGAGAATTTGATTCAGAAAGCTTTGGAAATTTCTGCGATCAACTAGGAATCTTGACACGCTATGACACAACACCTAACAATGGCCAAGTGTAACCAATGAAAGGGACTGCAGTATAGTGGCACAAGTAATAAATATCGAATCCACGGGTCTCTAGAGATACTATTACTCAGCTTCAGTTCATTATCTAGCAAACTAGATTAAGGATTGATTTATAAACTACTCTACTGACTACTCTACTAATTACAAGTTGGGAACTCACTTCGGTATGATTCCCCCTAGCTCCTCAATTAGGTCCAAGTTGCAATTACTTTTGGTTGGTCTACTGTTGATTAAACTGCGGAAGATCCTAAATTAGCTTGGAATCTCTTAAGCTGACCAAGCCCTCTTAGACAGAATACCCGGCAGGCGACTAGCCTTCACCGGGGTAGACTGCTAAGGAGATTCACACAGATCTCCACTACTGGAATGAATTCTAGTACAAAGCAGTGAATTGATTGACTCTCGCACAACCAATTCACCACTATCAATCAAGGAAGCTCTCTTAACCTAATCAGATTCTATCTATCATAGGTTAAAGCAGAAATCAAGATAAGATGATTAGACTTCAATTGACTCTATGAATCATGCCTCAATCTATTATAATCAAACAATATAGCATCCAAAACTTCATACAAGAAAGATCCTAACACATGGAACTAGGGTTCCTCAAAACCTAAGTGAAGGGAAGTTACTCCATAGAGAAGAGAGAGACTGCAGAAATCTGATCTAGATCTTCAATCTCCATCTCCAAGCTTGATTCCCGAGCTCCAATGGCAAAAAAATCATCCAAAATAGCTCAAAGAATGTTCCCAAGTCGCTATTTCTCTCTAGGGTTCGTCCCTTGGGTGTTTGGGAACCAAAACCCTGCTCTCCCTTTCCTTTTGCTGAAAATCGGGTTTTAACCAGAAATTGCCGATCAGACAGCCAGGCCACACGGCCGCGTGACTTTCCCAGATGCCCGTGTGAAGGCTCGGTGATTTCCACACGGCCACATGGCCATGTCACACGGGCGTGTGGGTTTTTAGGCGTGCCCGTGTGGCGTGCTTAGCCTTTGTTTAATGCTTTGTTTCTCCCTCGTTCAGACTCCGAATCAGTCGCCGTTTGATCCCAGGCGCTCGTAGTCTCGTCCTCTTTCCTTTCATGACAAAATTCCATGATTATTTGTCCATAATATGAGGTAGAATTCCATTATTCCTCAGGTCATGCTCGTGTTTCTTCTCCCGTGTTGCCAAATGATCTCCGATTGACTTCAAACTTGCGCCTATGCTTCAATTTACATGCTAGGACCTGAAATGTGACAAAGGAACACAACCTAGCATAAAATAGGCCAAAGAAGCGATAATGCAAGCTTAAACGATCAAGAAACAAAGGAAAAAACATGTGCAAATATCGAGTCATCAAATCTCCCATGAGTTCTCAGCCCCTAGGAAACCTCAACAAAATGGTGTAGTGGAAAGGAGAAATAGAGCTCTTATAGAGCTAGCTAGAACAATGCTTAGTGACTATAGGCTTTTTAAGTATTTTTGGGCTGAAGCAGTAGCTACCGCCTGTTATGTTCTAAATAGGACATTGATTAGGGCCATCATAGAAAAAACACCTTATGAAATCTGGAAAGATCGGCGGCCAAATATTAGTTATCTTAGACCATTTGGATGTAGATGCTTTATACTTAATACTAAGGATGCACTAGGAAAATTTGACTCAAAGTCGGATGAAGGAGTACTTTTGGGATATTCTACTCGTAGTAAAGCCTATAGAGTCTTCAACAAGAGATCCTTGAAGGTAGAGGAATCAATACATGTTGTTTTTGATGAATCTGACTATATTTCTGAGCATAAAAGCGAGAGGACGATGATAAGGATGATTTGGGACTAATTCGAACGACGACAACCTCAGTCACCCAAGAAGCGGAGCTTCCACATGAGAGGTTATTCAAATCCCAAGAGCCAAGTGCACCACCCCATATTGCTAAGGCACATCCTCCGCATCAAGTCATTGGGAACATTAATGAGGGGGTCAAAACAAGATCAAGTAAGGACTTATATCAAGGTCACACTTCTTACTTTTCACTTATTGCTACACTCTATTTATCCTTGATTGAGCCTTAAAACATTAAGGAAGCTTTACTTGATGAAAGTTGGCTCCTGGCTATGCAAGAAGAAATGCTTCAATTTGCTAGAGCTCAAGTATGGGACTTGGTTCCTAGACCAATAGGTAAAACTATTCTAGGACTTAAATGGGTCTATCGCAATAAAACAGATGATCAAGGGATAGTTAATAGGAATAAGGCTCGTTTGGTGGCTAAAGGCTATAGTCAAGAAGAAGGAATAGACTATGATGAAACATTTGCTCCCGTAGCTCGTATTGAGGCAATTAGACTGTTGTGTGCCTTTGCTTCTTCAATGAATTTCAAATTATATCAAATGGATGTCAAAAGTGCATTTCTGAATGGAGTCCTTTATGAAGAGGTATATGTAGAACAACCTCCTGGTTTTGAAGATCATAGGTTCCCTAACCATGTTTTCAAACTTAAAAAGGCTCTCTATGGTTTAAAACAAGTTCCTCGTGCGTGGTATGAACGTCTAACTCAATTTATAGAAAGTGAAGGTTTTGTTAGGGGTAATGTTGATACAACTTTATTTCTCAAAAAACATAAATATGATCTTATGGTTGTCCAAATTTATGTTGATGACATAGTTTTTGGTGCTACTAATGAAGCTATGTGTGTAGAGTTTGCCTCTTCTATGCAACAAAATTTTGAAATGAGTATGATGGGTGAGCTTACTTACTTCCTAGGACTTCAAATCCAACAAACTTCAAGAGGAATCTTCATTAGTCAGACGAACTATACTCAGTCCATGATGACCAAGTTTAATCTTGGTAATCTTAATCCTAGTCCAACCCCAATGGCTACCAATATCCAATTACACAAGGATGAAGGTGGTATAGATGTCGATGAACGTAAATACCGTGGGATTGATAGGATCTCTTCTCTATCTCGTGACGAGTAGGCCAGAAATTATGTTTAGCGTTTGTATGTGTGCTCGATTTCAGTCCAAACCTAAGGAAAGTCAGCTTAGTGCCGTTAAGCGCATCTTCCGTTATCTGAAAGGTACACCTACTTTAGGTCTATGGTATCCTAGGGAAACAAACCCTAAGCTTATAGGATTTAGCGATTCAGACTTTGCCGGTAGTAGGATAGATAGAAAAAGTACCTCTGGTACCTGTCAATTTTATGGTCGGTCCTTAGTTTCGTGGTTTAGTAAAAAACAACACTCTGTAGCTCTCTCCACCGCTGAGGCTGAGTATATTGCCGCAGGAAGTTGTTGTCAACAACTTCTATGGTTAAGGACTTAACTAGCGGACTATGGGATTATACTTCCTACCATTCCCATTTTGTGTGATAATACGAGTGCTATCAATATGTCCAAAAATCCGGTTCAACACTCTAGGACAAAACATATAGAGATTAAGTATCATTTTCTTCGAGAGCTAGTTCAGAGTAAAACTGTGTCTATCTCCTTCATACCTACGAGTGAACAACTAGCGGATATTTTCACTAAATCACTTCCTATAGATCAATTTCTATTTATTCGTAATGAGTTATAAATGACTTTCCCAATCTGATCTTGCTAATTTTGGATCCTGATCTTCTTTTTCTTGTGTGTTTGTTTTATTGTCTATATATATATATACACATTTAACATATATAAAAAAAACAAACGAAAAAAACCAAATTTAAATAAATAAAAAAGGAACACATCATCGCCAAAACGGCACCTTCCTGCTGTGCGCGACTCAGCTTTTCCCGGCGCATAGTCTTGCTATTCCAGGCGAGTAGTCTTGCCTTTCCCTTTCTTCTATGATTTCCGGCGATTCTTGCCGCTTGATTCTTCTCCGATTCCCAATCTTTTCTTCCCCTTTCATCGCCTACTAATTATAATTCCCAATCTTTTCTTACCCTTCATCGTTTCTCACTCGACGCCCACTGATTATATTTCCCAAATCTTTTCTTACTCTTCATCGATTGTTCCCCTTTCTGCCTTCCTCTCCGAATCAACGACAATGATTTCCTTACCCCCATTCCTTAGGGCCTTCTGGCGGAAATACTGCAGGCTCTGCCTATATATATATATATCAGTTTTACTTCGTCGATCACGTCATTCATCTCTCAAAAAGAAAAAATAACCTACTCCTTGCTCCCACATTTCCTGGCGGACACGGCAGCATGAGCTTCCTCTCCGGTGACTCGTTCCTCATGACTCCAGCTCTCTTTTGTCGCCAGCAGTGGATCTTCTCCTTTACCGGGGCGCTCTACCCTCATCCAGTTGGTGAGAATCGTCATCGCCATCAACAGATTTTTGCAGTGAAGCCAATTCTGCCGATCTGTACTCTGGATCCTTATGCTTTTGCCTTTGTCGACATTGTGGATCCTATCACCCTCATCGACAGCCTAGGCTGGCTTCCCATGGGTGATTCCCCTCCTCGCGGCTACTGCCCAGCTGCCGTTCGTGCCTTCTATTCCAATCTTCGGACCGATGGGATCACATCGGGCAAATTCTCCACCCTGGTATATGGTCACTTGCTTACTCTTTCGGTTGATGACCTTGCTGCATTTCTTATTCTGCCTACTAGAGGCAAGCAGCTCATTAGTCCTTTGGAGTTTTGGTCATACAAGTTTGACTTGCATCGGGAGGTCACAAATCGCTCCTTTGACTCACTGGATGAGTCACTCAAGCTTCTCCACTACTACATCACCCGAGTGTACTTTCCGCGGGCTGACCGCTTGGATGTTGTTTTGCCTCTTGATTGTTGGGTCATGTCTCACGCCATTTCTGATATGCCGTTGAGCTATCCTCACCAGTTATTTGGGGCAATCGTGGATGCTGATGCCAATGACTCTCCCAGTGTTGGTCTTCCATTTGCTGCGATGATTGCGTTGCTGCTGCATCGTCTTGGTGTTCCTCTGGCTGACTTTGTGACCATTTCTGATGATGGTGTTCATCCCTCCATTGACGAAGTGTTGGCTGTGGTGGGGCTTCCTCCCATTGTTGATTTATCATCAGGAGGAGATGATCATGGTTGTGTGGCCACGGACGCAGAAAGAGGCGAAGAGGCCAAAGACGAGGCGTCCGCGGATGGTGGTGCATCTGCTTCGACTTCTGTCCGTCCCTTCAAGCTCAAGCGACAGGCGAAAGGACCTCGCCCTTCTAACAGAGTTCTCAAGCGTCTCAATAATCAAAAACCTTCTCAAGGAGTGGTTCTCTATGAGAATCATGATCTTGAGCAAAACAATTAATTGCCTTAATTTAGGGGGAGCTTGGGTTTCAAGTTGTTAGTTGTTGCTGTTGCTATTTTAAATGGCTTATTTGAATTGTTGCTTTTAAGGTCTAGATTGAGTCAGGGGGAGTATCAAATCATGTCTCTTATTTGCACTGTTGAGTGTTTTGATTGAATAATGCCCTGAGCTATACTCAGGAAGAATGAAGTAATTTGTTTTCTTAATAATCTGTGGCGTAGGATGAATGAGAGATATAATGACTGCCATTCTTTAATCTTGAGCTTAATGATGAATGAAGCATATGCAGTAACAGGATGCCAAATTAAGCTTAGGGGGGAGAATGTTGAGTTAACAAGCTTGATTCAGCAAATTGAATGTCATAGGATATTTTGTTTTAAATATATGTTATTATGTGGAACTAACAATCTATGCAAAAATATCACAATCAATGATGAGGAAAAAGGAAACAATTCAAAGTAATTGCTTGCCTTCAAAGGAGTTACCATATCAAGCAAAAAGGTATCAAATCAAGGAGATACTTGCCACATAAATGAATACAAATGAAAGGAAATGAAGGCTCACATCAACTATAAATAGTAGGTTCATTTGTAGGCCAAGACACCTTTTGCAAAGCTCTCTTCTCCCTTGTAATAGCGAAATTGTGTGATCATATTTCGTGGTGTGAATAGCTTGATATCTCGGGGGTTGAGATATTCAAGCTAGGTCGGGTTTTAGGGTAGGAAGGGTATTTGTAATTGGGACTAGTGCAAGAGCAAGAGGGGATTCTTGCTTGGGAGTTGCACTAGGTGAATTATTCTCCAATCAAGTCAAACTAAGAGTGTTGGCTTGATTGATTGAGTGGGTAGCTTAGCTTGGATTTAGCTAAGGGTTGAATAGGTGTGGAGTTGCACCTATTTGGTTCCTGACACGAAGTGTCAAGGTTGTTTCAATTTCATAGGTTAGAGAGTATTTTATTTTAAAAAAAGTTAGAGTCTATCGTGAGATAGTGGTAACTATCTCCGGGACGTGGATGTAAAGCCATATTGGCCGAACCACGTTAAAGTCGCGTGTCCCGACTCATCTCTCTCTCTCTCTCTATACCTCCTCTAACTTTGTTCTATTCATCAGTGCTAACAAGTTAATCACTTCAGGAGAGACTTTTGGCAAGTCCTTTTGGATTGCTCAATCAAGCTAGTGCTAATCTCTCACTATTGAAATCTGAATTAATTTGTGCATTGACCACGCCAAAAGTAGCCTTTATTGACCTAGCTTGGTCTAACATATCCTACCCTGTACCCATTTCACAAACATTAAGTAGTGAGAGGCAAACTATGTAAAACCATTCTTCAACAACGAACCTGTTAGCTTGGCAAACCATTGCCTGCTGGCTTACTTGAAACCATATATTGACTTATTCAGTTTGCAAGCAAGACCAACAGTATCACCTTCAATTTATAGTCCTGGAGGTATCTCCATATAGACATCTTCTTCCAAATCTCAGTTTAAGAAAGCATTTGAAACATCCATATGTTATAGGTTCGAGTCCTTGATAGCTGCAACTGCCAATAGTGTAGTGACAGTGTTGTTCTTGGCAAGTAGAGAAAAAGTGTTAAGAAAATCCACACCATACACTTGTGTGTAGCCTTTGTCAACCAATTTGGCTTTATGCCTCTCTATCCTTCCATCTGGTCTAAGTTAAGTTTCCACAACCATTTGCAACCTATTTTCTTTTTGTTGGGTGGCAGTCGACATATTTCCCATGTGTTGTTGGCAATGAGAGCTCCCAATTCTTCATGTGTAGCTCTATTCCAGTTTTCATCTTCCTGAGCTTCTGCAAATGTCTTTGGTTCCAGATGAGTTGTCAATGTCATGATGAAAGCATAAGTTTTTATTTATGTAGTTAACATCTCATAACCAACATAATCATCAATGGGATACCTACTCACTGCTCCCAAATAACAGTCTTTCAACCTTGTTGGCAAGACCACGTTTCTATGAGGCCTTTCTCTAGCCTGTGGTTCTGCTTCCTTTTCTTCAAGAGGCACAATCTCTTGCTCATGGAAATCATTCACATAATCATAATTTTCCATGTTACTTACTACATCATCATCATCCGACTCAGAATACAAGACATTAGATGCATCCGTCATAGGAGAAGGACTATTGACAAGTGAAGGACTTCTATATGAAGAACTAGAATAAGCAACATGAGTATTCTGTTTCGTTGAAGAAGAGGAAGGACTAGTGACATGACTGGATTCTCTATAGGATAGATTAGTGACAGAATGTGGAGCATTAGATGAATGCATTGGTGCAGGGAAGAAATATTCCCTTGATGTTTCAGACACTTCATCCTGATCTTTGGATGATGTGTCCTTTTTGAAAGGGAAGATGTCCTCATAAAAGGTCACATCTCTTGAGACAAAGAACTCATGTGAATTCAAATCAAAGAGTTTGTACCCCTTGATTCTTGTTGGTAAGCCTAAGAAGACACACTGTCTTGTTCTATGTTCTAACTTGGTTCTACCTTGAGCATGAGTATTAGCATAGGCTACGCATCCAAAGACCTTCAAATGGCCTAGGAAAGGAGATGTTTTGTAAAGAATCTGGAAAGGGTATGTTTTGTAACAAAGGAGTAGGGAGTCTATTGATTATGTAGACTGCATGAAGAACACAATCACTCCAAAAGGGTAAGGGCACACCAGAATGAAATCAAATAGCTCTGTCAACATTTAAAATATGTTGATGTTTGCGCTCTACCATCCCATTTTGTTCAGGTGTGTAAACACAAGACATTTCACGTTCAATTCCTCTTTAGTGTAAAAGTCACACAATGGATAACTCTTTCCCTTGATCACTCCTCACCCTTTTTACTGTTTTTGTGTATTGTGTTCGAACAATATTACAGAAGCCAATAAGGAGGGATCTAGCTTCAGATTTATGACGCATTAGATAGAACCAAACTGCTCGTGAATGATCATAAAAAATGGTGACAAAGAAGGAAAAACCATAATGAGACTGAATAGACAAAGGACCCCAGATGTCCACATGAATTAACTCAAAGATGTCTATAGCATGGCTGATACTGGAAGGGAAATGTAACTTTTTCTGCTTGGACAGATGGCAGTGTTCACAATGTTTAACATCTTCTTTAGGAATACTAGGATTACAATGCTAAACAAGCTGAAACCTACTACTACTAGGATGTCCTAAACGCCAGTGCCACAAGGAAATCTTATGAGGCTCGAAGTTGTAGATAGAAGCAACTTGGGATGGAAATGATGTATTTGGTGGGATGATTATAAGCCATTAGTTTCTGGAGCCAAACCAATCATCCTGATTGAGATTAGGAACTGGATATGGAAAACATTAGATCGGAAGAGAAGTGAGATTAGTAAATCATGTGTCAACTTGCTGATAGAAACCAGATTGAAAGTGAAACTGGGGACCAGAAGTACATTATGGAGAAATAGTCCATAATTGATTTTAACTGATTCTATGTGGCTTACTCGAACCTTAGCTTTGTTAGGGAGATAAGCATAAACATCATACACTGGGAGATATTTATGAAACAAGTGAAGAGAGAAGGCTATATGATCTAATACACTCGTATCAAGTATCCAAGTTGAAGACAAAGAAGTAGCAGTAGAAGACATAACATATTTACCTATTGAGTTAGGAAAGGTAGGAAGATGAGTGGTAATTGAGTGTGCTCTGTGGTTGATTGCTGGACTCTGAGGTGATGTTGGAGAAGTAGAGTTAGACATCTATAGGATGCCTCTCAACCTGTTCATCTCTTCTGTAGTGAAGCCTCTAACAAGGTTGGCAAATCTGTTGCCCACCCCAATATGTAATCCTTCAGACTGACTACCCTCTTCAGATCCAATGTTGTGGCCAACAAACCCTGCAAATCTTTTTGCATTTTTTGCTGCTTCTTGATCTTGTCTTTTCTTCTTGAGTCTCCAGCAATCCCTAATGACATGATTTGTTTTCTTGCAATAGTTGCAAAACAACTCTTCCTTATCTCCCCTAGCAGGTGGTGTGTTCCTGCTAGCTCTTGAGGATGTGTTACTAGAATGTCCTCCACCAACAGCTAAAACAACTTATTGGCCTGCCTTGTGCTTGTGACTACCTTCAGCTTTGAGCTTCTGCTCATGTTGCAAGAGATCATCAAACGCCATAACCACTGTGGGCAGTGGCTTCATGTGCAACAACTGAGTCTTAATCTAATTATACTCAGGGTTCAAACCAGCTAGAAAGCGAATCAACTAGTCAATATTCTGCTTGTTCCTGGCAGCTTCCGCAGCAGCACAAGGCATTGGGTTGCCAGGTTCACAAACACATGGAATAATTGTGTTAAATTGAATATATTCCTCCCAGAAATCCTTCATCTCTGTGTAGTACTGGGTAATTGTTCGAGTCCCTTGTTTAAAAGCATGAATATCATATTCTAAGTTTGCCAGCTTCAGTGCACTAGCCTGACCATATATACTCTTCAACTCAGTCCACAAAACCTGAGCATTATCATGACTCAGGACACTACGAGCAATGCCCTTTTCCAACGAATTTGTTATCCAACACATAACAATAGTGTTGCAAGCATCCCAAACATGGAACAATAGATCTCCCTGAGGTGGTACAGATACGCTTCCATCTATAAAACGATATCTGTGCTTCGTTTTCAACACTATTCTCACAGCCTTAGACCACATTTGATAGTTAGAACCATCCAAGACTTTGGGATTCACCGATTGAGCCAAGTTCTCGTTAGGATAAATGTAGAAAGGGTTACCAAAGTTTGGATCTGGAGAAGCACCAGCAGTAGCAGTAGTAGATCCATCTCTAGTAGCGGAGGTGGTGCCTCATCCATTCCCAGCAGTAGTTTTATTCCTCTGGGTGTTGTTGTTGACATTGTTTCTGTCGGACCGAATTGAAGATGAGGTCGAGTGAGTGGTGGTGTTTGAGGTTGGTTCGCTGAACCTTGATTATCCGCCATTACTCTAAATTTGCTCTGATACCATGTAGAAAAGGAAGAATGGAGGAAAGAGTTTTGGAATCCTCAGCTTTTCCTACTACTGGGTTTTGTTTATTTATAGGTTCAAGTTTCACTACTTACATAACGGTAAGAGTGACGTGACTAAACACCATTCGTCCAAACAAATTAACACTAAAAACTAACAACATAAATAAAGCGCCGTCGTTCCATCCTTCTACAGCTCATGTTGACGACGAAACGACTCTCACTCAGAAACGTTTCAACCGAACTGTTCTTCTTCTGAAATCAAACTCTCCAGACTTGGCGCCACTTTGCCTTGAGCAATCTGCTCCTGCGGATTCAGATAGACCACTCCTTTTCCCTTGTTTTTCATCAGTTACGGTTAACCGACTAACATAAATGGTGTGGTTAGTAGTAAGTACAAAGTGTTTAAGGATTAACCGAGAATCGAATAAATGGTTATGGTTATAACCGAACCGAACCGATTGTCATATTATATCTATCAATCCAGCGGAAAGGCTCGCTCTCCAGTCTCTAAGTTATTATTCCAAAACAACCGAAAAGAAAAGCTGATCTCAACAATGATGAAGAAGCGCAGTAGCAGTGGAGCTGACTTCGGTGCCGCCGTGAAACGGGCAAGAATGGAGGGGCAGTTAGCTGTGCGTTTGGGGCTTTCGGTGGCTGCGTCAGAGGATTATCACCAGATGATGGCGGCTGCAGAGGAAGTGATCAAGGGCTTCACATTCCCTCAAGCGGAAGGATTCATGCACGAAATCGAGCATGAGGCTCGAATCTTGGAGAAGGTGATGGATGTCGGCGGCGAGTCCAACATTGCAGCGCCGGAGAAGCTCCAGGACCTAGCCCGAGAAACAGAGTATTTTGACGGCGAGCCGGTTCTCGAAAGCGTCGTCGGCGCAAATCTTGCTGTGGCGGCGGGGATCGCTATCCCGCTGGAACCTGACGACGAGAAACCTGTCGGTGCTGCCGGGGCCGGAGAAGCTCTGGAGGAGAATGAGAATTTTGTGGTGGACGCTGAGGAGGAACAATTGAAGACGTGGAATCTGTTTATTTCATGGACGACGGTGATCAAGCCGATGACGGGGCATGCACCGGCGGCGGGGAGCGATATTGCTGCGGAACGACATCACGACGGCGAACAAGCAGAAAATGGGTTTTTCAGAGGCGATGTCGGTATTGTTTGAAGTGGATAAGAATCTCGTATAGAATATTTAGTACTGGTTTTTGGTATGTTAATTGGTTCAAGATGGGCGGAACTGACAGAGAAGAAATGAAGAGTGCAGCAATCCTCACTAGCTGCGGATTGTGATGGATGAAGACGGCGTTGTTGCAGAAGAAAGAAGAAGAATGATTGCTGAAGAACTAAAGCGAACGGAAGCGTTTTTAGTCTAGTTGAGTTAGCCGTTAATTCACTGTTTGTTTAAATTGAGAACCAATCTTGTAAGGACATGTTTCACTTTTCTGTTAATTATAAAAGTAGCTATAAAAGCTACAGAGAGCTCAGAATACAACTGAGCTTTTCCTCCAAATTCCTTTCTTCTTTACAATTTCTACATGGTATCAGAGCAACCCAGACCCTAAGGTTTGAGTCCGCGCAGTGACTGGTGGTGTAAAGAAGAACCAGTCATTGGCTCTAGCTGCAGGAAGACAGCAACAACAGAGGGGTTCTGCAGAAACTAGTTAGGGTAAAAAGTATTGTCGTTACTGCAAACGAACAAATCACAACATTGATGAGTACTGGTGGTTGAAAAAGAAGCAGGGAGAACAACAGAAAGATGGGCATTCAAATTCCAGTTCGAGTTCCAGTTCTAGTACTCCAAGATTTGCTGGTTCTGTTGCTCAGGGTACTGGAAATGCAGCTGGTGATCATCATCCTGAAGGTAATACAACTACTGAAGGTATGAACCAAACTCCATTTGCTTTCACTGCAGAGGAAATGGCTCGTCTCAGGAACCTGCTGCAAATTGGTACTAATGCATACCCATCCCCACCTACCTCCCCATCCATCAACCACCAAGCCTTTACAACCACACAACACCCTACACCATTCCCTAACTTCTCAGGTAAACATGTCACCTTTTCTTCTCACCTAGATCAAACATGTGATTACAACCTGTGGATAATAGACACAGGGGCCTCAGATCACATGGCCTGTTCCAATACCATGTTTACTGCTTACAGAGAAGTTAAGGATACTTAGGTTTATTTACCTAACAAAACCAGAGTCATTGTAACTTGTATAGGCACAGTCAAACTACCTACTGGTCTATCACTTTATGATGTTCTCTTAGTCCCTACCTTTTCCTTCAATCTTATCTCAGTTAGTAAATTGACCCATGACCACTCCATTTCCTTACAATTTCAATCTGATCACTGTGAACTCCAGGACCTTCTAAGCCAGAGGAAGATTGGTTTGGCAAGAGAATGTAGAGGCCTCTACCAGCTGGTTCTTCATCAAAGTCCTACCCCTTTCTCTTCACCAACTTTTCACCAAGCTGCCTCAACCTTCAACTACCAACCACAAGACCTACACCTATGGCATTGGCGATTAGGACACCCTAGTCATGATAGATTGTCTTTGCTTTCCAAAATCATCCCTGATGTAACTAAACAGAAACCATTACACTGTGATGTCTGCCATTTATCCAAACAACACAAACTACCTTTTCCAATTAGTACCAATGTAGCACCTGAGATGTTTCATTTGCTGCATATGGATATATGGGGACCTTTATCAGTTGTTTCCTATGATGGTTATCAGTATTTTCTTACAAAATTGGATGATTATTCTCGTTGTGTATGGATATATCTGATGAGGCACAAGAGTGAAGTAAGGGGCTTGATTCAAGGTTTTTGCAATTTGGTTAAGAACCAATTTGGTACCATAGTTAAAACTATTCGCAGTGATCAGGGTAAAGAGTTTCAAATGTGTGATTACTTCTCTCAAGAAGGAATAGAACATCAGGTTTCTTGTGTGGAAACCCCTGAACAAAATGGGAGGGTAGAAAGAAAGCACCAACACATTCTTAATGTAGTCAGGGCATTGAAATTTCAATCTGGTCTTCCCTTACAGTATTGGAGTGAATGTGTTTTACATGCTGTGTACTTAATCAATCGCACACCAACTCCAGTTATACAAAACAAATCACCAGTTGAAGTTCTTTTTCAAAAACCTGCTTCTTTGGCTCACTTAAGAGTGTTTGGCAGTTTATGTTATGCTTCCACCCTTGTTCATGGGAGAACCAAATTTGCTCCCAGGGCCAAACAGTGTGTGTTCTTGGGGTTTCCAGCAGGTGTCAAGGGTTACAAGGTTATGGATATCCATACCAAACAGGTTTTCCTGTCTAGGGATGTTGTTTTCTATGAGAAAATACTCCCTTTCCATTGTCCTGATGTCTCTACCACTTCAGATGCCTCTACTTCTGTTCCTACACCTCCACAGGTGGTACCCTCACCTGCTCCTGGTCTACATATCCCTACTCCTCAGTTTCATCCATCCATGGATGAAAGGGGGGAACCTGAGTCTGAGTCTGAGTGTCACACTAATGACCAGTCTCCTGCAAGTATCCCAACAGGTTCTCAGAGTCAGCATGAGCATTATGACTACTTTGATTCAGATGACCAGGAGTTGCTGCAGCAAGCTGATGTTGACTGTGAGAATCTGGGAGATCAAATGATAGAGGAAAAACTTCGAAGAAAGGTTACACTTCCAAGTAAGTACAAGGACTATGAACTAGATTCAAGCATTTCCTTTGGTCACTGTGGGAAATCAAACTCTTGCAGTAGACATCCTTTATGTCTGAATGTGGATAGCTTGAGTCATGATGATAGATCCTTTGCACTAAATATCATGAACCTAGTAGAACCTAGTAGAACCTAGTTCTTATTATGAAGCAATCAAGTCTGATGCATGGAATAGGGCTGTGAACTCAGAGTTACATGCCTTGGAGGAAAACCAGACATGGGATGTTGTCCCATTACCTCCAAATGTCAAAGAGATAGGGAACAAATGGGTCTTTAAATACAAATTTAAGCCTAATGGATCCCTAGAAAGAGAAAAAGCCAGGTTAGTGGCCAAGGGCTACACTCAGGTTTATGGGATAGATTTTTTGGACACATACTCCCCAGTGGCTAAGATAAACACAGTAAAGACCTTCCTAGCAGTAGCAAGCTTGAGGAACTGGACTTTGGAACAAATGGTTGTATCTAATGCATTCTTACATGGAGATCTGGATGAGGTGGTTTATATGAAAATACCACTTGGACTGAAAGTAAACTCAAAAGGAAACCAGAAGATGACTTGCAGGTTGAAGAAGTCATTATATGGCCTGAAATAGGCATCCAGACAATGGTTTGCAAAGCTTACCAGTTTTCTGTTGAAATTGGGTTTCTCTCAATCAGTGTCTGATTATTCTCTTTTCACTAAGTGGACACATGGAAGGATTACTGTGATACTGGTATATGTTGATGATATCTTAGTTGGGGGTGATGCACAGAAAGACATAGACCAAGTGAAGACAGCACTGAGCAAAGAATTTAAGTTGAAACTTCTAGGACCATTGAAGTATTTTCTTGGCCTAGAAGTTAACAGGGATCAGAAGGGCTTGAATGTGTGTCAAAGAAAGTACTGCGTGGACCTATTGAAGGATACAGGTTATTTGGTAGCAAAGGGGTGTAAAACTCCAATTGATGCAAAAGTGAAGCTGAGTTCTAAGGGAACTTTGCTAAAGGATGGTAAATCATATAGAAGGTTAGTTGGCAGGTTACATTATCTCACAATCACAAGGCCAGACATAGTGTTTGCAGTGCAACAGCTCTGTCAATACCAAAGGAACCCTTGTGAGGAACATATGCAGGCTGCTTATAGAGTGCTAAGGTACTTGAAGTCTTCACCAGACCAGGGAATACATTTCAGCAACACAGTAGAGGAAAGGATGATTGGATTCAATGATTCAGACTGGGCAAGCTGCCCAGACACCAGGCGTTCCATTACAGGGTACTGTACCTTCCTTGGCTCCTCCCTCCTTACTCGGAAAACGAAAAAGCAAACAACAGTTTCAAGATCTTCATCTGAAGCTGAATACAGAGCGTTAGCATACCTGGTTTGTGAAATTGAGTGGTTAAAGAGGTTACTTTCTGAGTTGACAGTACAGGTACCTCTTCCTATCCTTGTATATTGTGATAACAGGTCTGCCATTCACATAGAAGAAGACCCTGTTTTCTATGAAAGGACCAAACACATCGAGATAGACATTCATGTTACAAGAGATAGGATTAAAGCTGGGTTAATTAAGTTGAAGCATGTGGGAACAGCAGAGCAGTTAGCAGACATATTTACAAAAGGCTTGGATCAATTTAGAATGAGAGAAATCATAAGCAAGTTGGGGATCACAAGTGCACCACCAACTTGAAGGGGGGTGACAGAGAAGAAATGCAGAGTGCAGCAATCCTCACTAGCTGCGGATTGTGATGGATGAAGACGGCGTCGTTGCAGAAGAAAGGAGAAGAATGATTGCTGAAGAACTAAAGGGAACGACAGCGTTTTTAGTCTAGTTGAGTTAGCCGTTAATTCACTGTTTGTTTAAATTGAGAACCAATCTTGTAAGGACACGTTTCACTTTTCTGTTAATTACAAAAGTAGCTATAAAAGCTACAGAGAGCTCAGAATACAACTGAGCTTTTCCTCCAAATTCCTTTCTTCTTTACAATTTCTACAGGAACAGAGAAGATAGATCGACCATTCTTTGGTAATTTTCATGGCATGCAGTTAGCGATTTTCTTTCCATAAACTAGGTGTAGTTTTCTGATATTTCTGCTTCTGATAAACTCTTTTTTTTTTTTGTATACTTGGTACTGGAAGGCAATTTTGTTACTGCTGTAATAATAGGATTGTGTTGGTCTCATTCGATCTCATTTGCTTGCGCTACTGAACTTGTTGATTTGACTTTAGTATAGTGATTTACGACTCTCGCCGCCGGTGTAATACTCCTGGACGTCGACGAGCCCCAGGCAGATCCTTTGTTTTGACGGGAGCTAGAGCATTGTCTGAAGCAGGTGGCTCAGGAGTCGGGTTTTCCACAGGATTCTCCAAAGATCCCGGTTACTATTCCTCAGCAGGTGTCGGTGAAGATTCTCCCTTCTCCGACTCTGCTACAGGCTCCAACCATCACTTGCGGCGGAGCAG